CCACCAAGGCTGCCTGGCTGATTCCTACCATCCATCTGCCTGCAACAGAGCGGGGTCCCCAAACCCCAACTCCTGGAGACAATCCCACAGGGTGCTGAGGCCACTCTGGTCCTTGTGGGTGAGTGGTCAGCGGGATGGTGGGTGCTGGGCGGGCAGGTGCAGGCTCGGGGGTGCAGGGGGAGCTTTGCCACGTGCCCCTCGCTGCGCTCGCTCACGCGTCGCTTTTCTTTTGCCTTTTTTGCCTCTCCCTGTCCTCAGCTCTCGCCGCCGCCTGCTGCTGCTCAGCGCTGCTCTCTGGGCCCCTGTCCCCATGTCCCTGGTCCCTGTGTCCTCATGCCTCTGTGTCCCCTGTGTCCCCATGTCCCCATACGCCCATGCTCCATCCACGCGTGTCTGTGTGTCCATGTGTCCGTGTGTCCCTTTGCCCATGCCCCACATCCCTACCCCTGTGCCTCAGTGTCCTTGTCTTCGTGCCCCTCTCCCATTCTTTGTCCCCATGCCTCCGTGTCACCTCGTCTTCATTCCTGATGTCCCCGTGTTTTGCTGTCCCTGTGTCTGTGTGCTCCCACGTCCCCGTCCCCACGGTCCCTGTGCATGGTCCCCCATGATCCCTGTCCCGTCCCATCCTCCCCCCAGGCTGTGCAGCCTTCCTGGAGCAGCCAATGCTGGCCTTTGTGCGCCTGAAGGACGCAGTGACACTGGACGGTGTCCTCGACGTGTCCATCCCCGTCCGCTTCCTCGTCGTGGTCCTGGGGCCCGACACCCCCCAGATCAGCTACCACGAGATCGGCCGCGCCATCGGCACCATGATGTCCGAGAGGGTACGGGTCACCCGCCAGTGCCACCGCCCCCAGCACCCTGGGGCTGCAGCTTGTCCCCCTGTGCCGCGTCCCTCCCTGACCCCCATGTCCCCGTGCCTCCTGGTGCCATGCCCGTGTCCCCAAGACCGTGTCCTCACCTCCCTATGTCCCCTTACCCCCGTGTCCCCGTGTCCCCCTCGCCCCGTGGCCCCGCTGCGGGTGTCCA